GAGTGTGGCAAAAAGGTCTGGTGGTGGCTGGGGCTGCTGGGTGCTGTGATGTGAATATCTGATGGTAGTTCAGTTGTTCATGCTCGCTGCAGGCTGGAAGGTATGACACAGCATCCGAAAAACAAATTATCTGACCGTTTTCAGGGCTGCTTTTCCGAAAGGCAGCAGTCAAGGTCTGGGTACGAAAGTACGCTTGCAAATCCTGTATTTCCTTCTGTCTATCGTGCGATCACGTTATTTATCAAATAGCGAGTTGAAAAAATACTGTAGAGCAGCAGGCGATGCACTGGCCTGTTAGTAGGGCTACAACATCTTATTAGAACGAACGGAACCTTCAGGGAATAAGGAATGTAAACAGACGGTGTTTCAGAAAGAAACATTCAGCCATGTGTTATTAGGACACGGGGCGAAGAGCGGGCAGCACCGGAGTGGTGCCAGGCACCAGGTGCCCTCTCGGTGAGGCCGGGGGTCTCTGGCCGCGTCCGTGTCGCTGCAGTCCCTCGGTGGAGTCGCCTTCTCGGAGTTCCCCGTGCCGCATTGATACAAATCGTCTGTCTGTGCCAGACAGGCTGAGCCTGAACTTTGCGCGCCGTTATTCCAGGCTCCGGAGCTGCTGTTAGCGGCACCGCGCGGGTGGGTCTGGGCTGCAGGGGCTGGCCATGCCCCTCGCCCACGCGGGGGCCACATGGGCATGAGAACAGATAAAACAGTCCGCTCCAGTCCCAGGATTTCGGGAGGAGAACTGCGGCCGTTTTAAGGACACTCCTGCACGAGACCCGTGCGGGGTGGTGGCTGTCATGGCGGGCTTTGCCGGCCGCGGGGCCATGCTGGCACAGCAGGTCGGGCTGGTCTGAGGGCTCGTGATGCTGAGTAATTGCTCCAAGAAAATGTCAGGGGAGGCTGGAGGAGGGCGGCACCACCAAATATGGAATTTTATTTTCCATCGGGCCGTGAAAACACAGTTCCTCGGTCCCACTGAAAACTTTTTCCCAGGCCGGCTGCTGGACTTAGCAGGAAGGGAGTTTTTCCGTAGGCGGGGGGGCGGGGAGGGTGCTGCTCTCTAAATCAATGGAGATCGCAGAAACCCCACTGTAAATTTCTAGGGCAAGTGGCAAGCTGGTTTACGGAATGCAGGGAGATGAGAACCTCTGGCTTACGGAAAGCAGCATGAATTAATAATCATTTAATTGGCTTCTCCATTATGTTTCTGGGTTGGGAGATGGAAGTTTAGACGAAGGGGCTGTCAGTGGTACTTTAGCTAAAAGAACCTGATGGCTGGGAGGCGGGGTGGCCATCCCTTCCCACCAGGATCCAGAGCAGGCAGCTTGGGGGACCTTTGCCAGTTCTGGACCTAGCGAAGGAAAGGAACTCCGCTTCAAGGAAGCATCCCATCCCACCTCTGACATAACACCTGGGAGGATTTCTCCTCCTCCTCAGAAAAGCAGAAGCTGCCAAGGAAGAGCGAGCAGACAAGCAGGTCTCCGAGGAGTGCGGTGGCCAGCCAGCGCGCCTGCAGCAGCGCCATCCCATTGCACTTGGCTTTGGGTACTTCTGTTGAGAACGCAGATTTTTCTCTAAAGTCAGCAAATCTGAAGTAAATTATAAAAATACTAATTGGTACGTAGTCATACGTCTTACTTTAAACCCAGGTTCCTTTTTCTTTTCTGCAAGGCCTGCACCTCTAGAGCACGGTCTTGGGTGCGGTGAGGGCGCAGGCGTTGTCCTCCACCGTCTCTGGTGCCGAGCTGCCGTGCGGGGCCGAGGCCCTTTTGCCATTTTCGGCCGAGGACGTTTTGTCCCGTCCCCTCCGCGCAGACGCAAAGGTCCCACGCAGCTGCCGGAGAGCTCTGCAGGCGGGCGCCGAGCTGCGTGTCCTCGTTTCTCCAGGCAGAAGAGAGTTCTTAATTCCTCTGATCTGCGATGTGGACTGAATGTGTCACTTCGTATGTTTGGCTGTTTATCAACAATAAACTTCAGTCTCCTTGTTAAAATTCCACTTGAGCTGTCAGCTCGGTAATACTTACAACAAATATTCAGTAGCGTTTTTCAGAATTCTGCAACAAACCAGTCATTCCGGGGTCTGGGCAATCGTTGATGATTCTGGTTTGGGAGGGGTCAAGTTATAGGTTGAATCAAGTGCATTTAAGAAAATTGGCCACTTTGGAGATGGTAAGTAAACGTAAATTCTAATTACCGTGTGCTTTTCCCTAACTCTAAGTGGGCTGCTTCCCAGTAGAAAGCCACCTCTCGTGGCTCCTGAGGTTCCAGCTTGTGTTCAGCTGCTACTGGGTGGTTGACAGTTGAGCTGCTGAGTTTAGTCACTGCATCTGAAACCATCACATCGGTGAGCTGCTGGAAGCGGTGCACAATGAGGTCAGCGGCAGAGGGTGAGGACCAGGGGCTCCCTGAGTTCCTTGCACCTCACTGTGCCAGCGCAGATCCCACCGCTGGTGGGGACACCAGGGATTTTGTGAGTGTCCAGAGCTCACCTGGGTTCCTTAATGCGATTCTGTAGGTATTTCATGGTTCTCACTCTGTTGCCAAAACCAAAAGCGTTGTCATCCTTCACTAGGAAAGGTGATTGATATACATGAGCAGGGATTTCTCCCCATCATCCCTTTTCCTCCCCTGCGTCCTCTGCCCCTCTTGCAGGCTGGCAGTGCTAGCACAGCTCGTGGCAGCCCTTGTCAGTAGTTCTGTGGAGCAGATGACACCCAAAGGTTTGAAGTGGCAGTTGACAGACACAGAGCATGGAGAGACCCTGCCTGGACCACGTAGGAGAGACAGGGCAGACAAGTCTGAGAGGACCCCAAGTCGTGGCTGGCGTTATCGTCCCAGCACAGTGTGGGGCGGGAGCAGAGCTCGTGTGGCTGCGTGACAGTGCTGGCAGACCTGGGGTCTCCGGACGCTGGTCCCGATGCCCGACTGCTGATTGGGGCTGACGCTTCGATGTCTGAGGTCACACTGAGGAGTGGACAATGTCAGCAGCAATTACCCTCCTTATCGGGGCCACTCACCTCACACAAGGCTCGGGCAGAGTGTTTTAATGCAGGGTGGTCCTCTGCCCGCCACGGCGCTGGCGCTCAGAGGTGGTCTCTGACTGCCTGCACCCACCGGGAGGGACAGCTTTCCTCGGCGGAGGGGCAGTGCAGGCAGGTCCGAGGTGGTGCCGTGTTTCTCGTGCTCCAAACACATTTTATTAGTAGGAAGTAAGGGAGACCAGCTTTGGTCCTGTAGGCACCTTTAATGACTTTCCAGTTCTGAACCCCAGGGAGAGTCCCGGGTTCAGCCAGCGGATCGACCCGAGAAGCAGCCTGTCGTTCTGTGGGGGAGGCCGAGCAGGATCCGCGTTGGCGTCCGAAGTGAGCCCTGACACCGCGGGCTGGTTTTACACAAAGAAACTCCAGGTTTGGGCGTTTTAATGCAGTTGGCAGCACAGGGGTGTCCTGTGGTTTTGGTTTCAGACACTGCCTGGGCTTCACATCTGTGAGTGAGGCTGCCAGCCAAGGCTGAACCACCGGGCGTGCGGCAGGGCAGCACCAGGGGAAGGACATCGCCTGGAAGCAAGCTTTGGCGTGGCCAAGTCTCCCAGGAGAAGTTTAGTAGCAGCAGAGCTCTTCTGATCCCTGACTCCCTCTGGCAGCATTGCATTCTCTTTGCAATACCTATTTTCCCTCCCCTGGAAGTTATTTTGCCTCTGTTTAGCTGAAGGCTTAGAGGTGGGGTCTGGCAGGAAGGCGGTTAGACATGAAGATTGTAGTTCTTACTGCGATGTGAATTACTTACTTCTGAAATACCGCTCGTGTCGGCGAATGGAAAGGTCTTTGAGAAGGAAGAAGTTTACCTGAATCTTACTCTGACGGCATCTTCTGAACCAGGGAGCAGATACCAGCGGGTTCACAAAGAGAATAAGAGACAAGGGGAAGAGTATGGGGGGACCGGGCTCAGAATGCTACAGTGCCTTGTTAATCGGCAGCCGATCCATCATATTAAATATCCAGCTGTCATATATTACCTTTCAAGTGAAAATGAATAACTCCCATTAAGGGCGAAATGGGTTTGAAGTCGATTCGAGACAGATTAAAGTACTGTTATGAATGTGTGTTCGGGGAGGAGGAGACGGAGGCTGTGTATAATATACTTGTCCTTACAGTTTTTAAATAATAGATGTCCCACAAATTTATGTACTGCAGGCTGCCAGGGTTCGGGGGAGGGGTAAAGGTCAGGGATGTGCTTCTCGGAGTGCCTCGACTTGCAGAGTGTGTTGCTGTTGACTTCTGGGCTCGTTTGCCTTTTTCTGTTTTGCCGAAATGAAATCACCTTTTCTCAGCTCGTTACAGTGCGAGATCACCCGGGTCCCGTCCCGGCACTGGCCGTAGTCTGGGTCCTGCTGCTGCTCTGCCATCGGGATTTTGGTGGGAGCGCTCGCTGGGAAGTACCCACAGATGCTCTTACCCGCAGCGCGTGGGCCAACGGCTGGGGGCGCCCCGGCCGCGGGGGCCCCCCGCCTCAGAGGGCACAGCAGTCAGGGCAACGGCCAGAGCTCCCAGCCGTCTCCAAGGCAAACATGTTCCAGAATGTTTGTATACAGAATGTCCTGGGTGAGCCAGGAGCAGGAGTTCTGCTTTGTCAAGTCAGTCCATGGCTCGTGGAGATGACACATTGGCCTTCATGTCTGGCCAAGCGTTCGTGTGTCTGACATAAGCACAGGACAGGACTCCCCTGCACCTAACAGGACCCAAGCAGCCCGCAGAAATAGCTGAGATTTCTCTGCTTCTAACTACAAATTACACCATTCCCTCACTATGGAAGATAATCACGAAGGAACGTTTTTTGGCCAGGCGTGCTTTGTAAGACGTAAGTTAGTCCACAGACTCATGTTCCAACACCTTGGAGGTGGTGGTGTTTCAAGAAACAGCAGCGGAGTAAATGGAAATACTGTTTTTGTGCAACTTAAGCCTCTTTGGGGATGTCCTGATACAAATTTCTTTCTGTTGCAGCACCAGCCAGCCAGGCAGAGAAGGAGCTGACGGAGCCTCCCGCGTCCTCCAAACGAATATCATTTCCCAGCAGCTCTGAGTCGCCTCTCTCCTTTAAATGGTCAAAAACTTCAGAGGAGACCAAATCAGAGCAGGTAAGAAAGAGCAACCCAGCTTTTTGTGCATCTACAAGCAGGTAATTTGTTTCATATGTGCCAAAAGCAAAGAATAAAATAGGAGAAGGAGGATGAAAGGCGGTAGGAGAAGGCATCGAATTATTAAAGTCTGGCTGGAAGGACGGAGGAAAGCAGCAGCTGTAACAATGGCGTGATTCATTTGTCTTGCTCTGCAGATGTACCAGTGTCCGTATTGCAAGTACAGTAACACAGACGTGAATCGGCTGCGGGTGCACGCCATGACCCAGCACTCCGTGCAGCCCATGCTCCGCTGCCCGCTCTGCCAGGACATGCTCAACAACAAGATCCATTTGCAGCTGCACCTCACCCATCTGCACAGCGTGTCACCCGACTGCGTCGAGAAGCTCATCATGACGGTAAGCGGCTGCGCAGCCACGCGCGGCTGCTGCCTTCCCGGCGAGGCTGCGGGGTGAGGGATGGCCTGAGCCGCGCGGGCGATCTCTGCTGTGGCGGGCAGCTCCTTCTGTCAGGGCTCTGCCCCTGGGGCTTTACCCATCCCTGCATGTTTCGTCTGCAGAGACTATCTTGTCCGTGCCTGAGCACTGCGGAAACTGGGGATGTTGCAGTGTTGAGTAAGTTCCCTGTGAAGAGATGAGAATAAATACGATTTCCTGTAACTACTGAGGTCGTCGCGTGGGATCGCGTTTTGCACAGAAGCTTCTGGGAGAGGCAGGAGCTGATGTGCTGTGCTGCTCCTGTTGCAGAGGGAAAGTGCTCGTGCGTTGATGGGCACTTCCCAAGAAGGACAGCCACGGTGGTTCAGGTAACATCACAGGAAATTAGATACCAGGTTTCTGCTTAAAATATGATTTTAAGAACAAACAGAGCAACTTCCCTTGGTGGTCTCGTCTCGTGGAGAGGAGACAGTCCTGTTGTGCTGCCCATGTTCTGCACTTCGTCCACTTAATCAGGATCATTGTGGTGGTGCAAGATAAGTTGGACCTGTTACTTCTGTGAGGAGTCACTCCATCCAAAATGACAATGTTTTTGTTGTGTAACAACTGCCTTTTTTCAGGGTAACCTGTACAAGCAAGGGGTACGCTGCCGTTGGCCCGCGGGAGGGGGAACCTTACAGGATCGTTGAATACTAGAGCTTCTGTTTCAAGTGCTATTTTTAAGATGTTTTGAAATGCCTGGTTTTAAACTAAAATTTAAGCATAGACAGTTAAAATTTTCTGAAGTTGGAAGTTAGCCACTGAAGTGCAGAGGAAAAGTTCGCTGGATAAAATTAGCTGTCTTCACGTAGAGCCCAAAACTTGTAACAGCTCCACTTCTCAGGCTGTTTCTCAACCAACATTGTGGCCGTGTGCGGGCTGTGATTGCCACTGCACCTTCTGATAGGGAGCAGAAACTTCTGGCGGCAGGTTGTGGTTCCTTGTTTTAGCACCTGGCATGGGAAGCCGCTTCCAACACCGTCTCCGAGGAATCGAAATTCGTCTAGCTCGAGAGCTAGTGCTTGGTGAGAAGTAGTAACGTAACAGCGCAGTGTCCAGGTTCTCATTTGTGATCCCAGAGTTTGCGCGCGGCTTTGCCCCGGAGCCGCGGACCCACGTCTCTCTGCTGCTGGCGTTGGCGTGGCCGTGCCCGCGGCGGCTGCACCTCTTCCGCGGGGCTCGTACGTGCTGCCGTGGCGCGAAGGCGCTCACGAAGGCTTACCCCGCTTCCCGCTCCGGGGCGTTTGCTTCAGTAAATAACGTTTTCAGTCCCAGAATGTTTCTTTCATGAATTCCCTTTTCATAGGTTTCTCACGAGTGCACCTTTCCATTTACTGATGTCGGTTTAAGATACAGGTAGAATTAATAAGGCACGTTTTCAAAAACCCTTCTAAATTCACAAGTGGGATGTATTGTCAGATTTCTACACTGTTATTTCTTTGGTATAATCTTCAAGGCAAGGTTGTGTCTGTGTTTAAGAACTTGTTGCCACTATATAAAATAAGTGTTTATTTTGATTCCTGTCAGTTCGTTCTCTGCGATTTTTTTTCTTGCACCCCATTTCTGCTTGTTTTCTCCCTTCTTTTCTGATTCCTGACAACAGAGGTGAATAATACTGTGTTTGTCATAATACTGATGTTCTTTAAAGATCAGCTCCCCTCCTGTGACATCATCTGAGCGAGCACGTGCAGCGTTGCCCAGCTTTTCTCTTACAGTTCTGCGGTCGTCTCTCTCGAGCACCCTTCCAGTCCTTTGTGGCTCCTTCTCAAATGCCTTTGTGCTTTCTGTCTTCCCCCTTTGCTTTACCAACTACCTGTCTTGTCGTTTTTCTGCCCTCTCTTGGCCCCATTGGGCTCCGCAGGAGCCGAAGGTGTGTCCCACGCTGCGGCTGGCTGCGAGGGCTCGTGGTGGCCACTGTGGGACCAGTACTCCTGACCACCCCCAGGAACCACCTGTACCACAAGTAGGTGCCGTGTTGTGAAACCCCTTAAAAGTGCAGCCGGGCTGGCAGACCCTGGCACTCTGAGTACAAAAGCGAGAGAGGCAGGAGACAGCCCCAGCGGCTCACTGCGCCGCGCGGCTGGCCGGGGCCGCGCGCTCCGGCAGAGCACAGCTCTGCTCTGCGGCCGCTCCTCAGGGGGCTGTCCCGCAGCGGCCGCTGCAGCTCCCTCCATTTTGACTGATGGTGCTTAAGTGTGAAAACACCTTCTGAGGGCTTGAACGAATCTTGTTAGTGTCTGACTAAATTGCTGGAAAACGTTTTGGCCTTACAAGAGCAGAGAGCAGAAGCTGAGCCCCTTTCTTACGCCAGCAAGCGTCACCAGTTTGCTGAAGGTGTCCGTTAGGCCAAGGCGAAGCGGTCCGTCCCTGAGCCAGGTCTGGGACCAGTGTGCTTGGGCTGGTCCGTCCGCTCGGCCTGAGCAGGTCCGTGCCTCC